GAATTCTCTGTCCTCCTTCCACTGAGGGCTCCCAGGACCTCTGTAAGATCTGGATGCGTTCCTTTATGAGATGACCTAGACTACCTTCATCCATGTGTTAATCTGTCTCTGTCCCTCCACCTCGTGCTCTACCCCCACCCCCAAAAATATTTAGTTTATTTTCAGCCTTTGAGAAAGAAAAGACAATAATTTGCCTCTTGGTAACTAAAATAACTGAGTTTCTCTGAGTGTACTTGATTACCTGGTTAATTAGGGAAAGAGGTAAAGTGATAACAAGAAAATAGAAAAGTTCAAAGCAAAGAGTGATTGGGAGGGCTGGCAGAGTGCTGAAAAGTAGCAGGCAGAGGAGGTAGGAGATGAGATAATAAAGGTTCGGTGGGGAGGCAGAGGTGAGAGTTGTGCAGAGTAAAAGCATGACAGCACATGCTGAGCATTGTACCCCAGTGTCTGTCTCGTGATACTGAGGACTGGGACTCAACTCACGGGCCCATTTTTAAGAACACCAACTTAAATTGGGTCCACTGTTTAGGTTGTCACGTGTGAAGATTTAATTTCTAAATTTCACATGGGCATATTTGTTTGGGATTACTTGTTCTCATTTACAAAGCATTCTTGTCTAGAGAGAGCAAAGAAAGTGGCTCCTTATAGTGGGTGAATGCCAGGAGCGAGCATCCGACCCTGCCCAACCCCAGAGCCACCCTCTGCCTTGCTGGCCAGTCCTGGGAGCACTTCTGCCTCACTGTTGGCTGCTTGTTTCTTCAACAGGGCTCCTTTGTCTACTGCCCAAATCCACACTCATGCGCCACTGTGCTTTCCTCCGAGTTACCTCACTGTTGTTGTGCCTCCTGTGTGTGTTCTTCATAACTGTGTAGGTTATATCCTCCTATAGTGTGATGCAAAACTTATGCCTGACTGGCCAGCTGATGGATTCTATTTCGGGAAATGGGCGAGATCAGATGAATTTTCTCCACCCCCCATTTGCACGTTGCTTCTCTGTTCCTGTGTTTTTTCTTGCTTGTTATTTTCGGCCCTGTATCTTTTTTTTTTTCCTTTTTTCTTTTTTTTTAAAGATTTATTTATTTATTTATTTATTTATTTATACAAGCACTGGGTACAGTCAGAAGCATGGGAGGGTGAGAGAATTCACCAGAGCCAGAGCGGGGAGCAGAGCAGGCAGAAGGACCGAAGCACACTGCTGAGGGGAGCAGCGGGCGGCAGGAGAGGTCTGCGCGCCATGCGGGACCCTCCTCTGGTGGCCGGGGAGCAGCCGGGGATCGAACCGGCCCTGCAGAGGCTGCGGGCAGCTTCGCAACCCAGCGCTCAACCGCTGCGCCACCGGGGAGGACCTCGGCCCTGTGTCTCTAACACGGTTTAACTTCCTCTCCAAGTCAGTTGTTTTCAGTTTTATTTTCCTTTAATTAGGTGTGCCATCACCTTCTTCCCCAACACCCCTCCCCCAACTGAAAGATCTTTCAAGGGCGGGAAACCATTCCATCCTGAAGTTAGTAAATATTTTAACATTTTGGAGGGAGAAAGCTAAGTGTAGGTGCGCTACTTTATGTTTCCAGCCTGATAGCTCGGCTAACACGTATTCACTAACTAAGAAGTAAGTGGGTTTCTAATTTGTTTGAAGATATTTTTAATAAGATGTATTCTGATGGCCCCTTCCTACTCTGGTCGTTCAGTTGTGCCTATCTTCATTACTGGGAATATTTCTGAATGTCTTCCAGCCCTCCAGCCTTTTCTGCTCCGTGTGCTGGTCAGAATCCAGCCTCTCACCCGCCCCCTGACGATGCTGAGCAGCAGGCTGCGCTCCTGCTGGCATGCTCTGGAGACACTCTACCTGCATCTCTGCCTCCGGTGAACATGTACGACCTTTTTGAAGCTTTGCAGGTAACTCTTGGCTCTTTAAGGTTTACCTTGGTTTTTGGACAGATTCAGAGTTTCTTCAAGTCTATAAAGACATTCACTAGCTCTTCATTCTCCTGCCTTTTAGTTCTTCAGTTTTTGTTACTCACACCATTAATACTAGACTTGTTCAAATCCTGGGCCCAGGAGTCCTTCCTAATTTATCCCTTATCCCCCATCTCTTCAGTGAAAGAAAGAAAAGGCTCTTGTTCCCTTCTTCCTACTTCATTACCTGGTTCTTTTCTTGTTACCTGGTTTGGTATTCCTTGATTCTGTCTTAAAGTTTATGAGCTTATTTGTCCTTTTGTGAGTGGTGTTGTTGATGAAAACCTTACTTTTGTGTGTTGGAAAAATAAGTGTATTGAAGTCTAATTGGAAAGATTCTGTTTTAACCCCAGGTGCACAGAGAAGTCATCCCCACACACACTGTGTATGCCCTCAACATTGAAAGGATCATAACGAAACTCTGGCATCCAAACCATGAGGAGCTGCAACAAGACCGAGTTCACCGCCAGCGCCTGGCAGCCAGGGAGGGCCTTCTGCTCTGCTGAATCAGGATTTGAATGGGGGACCCTTGCAAAATTCACTGATAATTGAGAATTGAATGCTTTTTGGGGTGCACATTTCAAGACTGAAGTGTGTAGTGTAAATATAAACTTCCTATGGAAATATGACATTGAGTACATTTTGTGTTGCTACTGTGAAGCCATTAATGTAAATCCAGCTTTCATAATGACCCATATCTCTCTATGTGTATATTTCCAATTCTGGGAGTCGGCACCTCTGATAGAATTCTGTGTCTGGAATGGAGATATTTAGGCATCAGCGGCTTATTAGCCCATGGTCTGCATGTGAGATAGATGACACCCTCCACAAAGAAGCCATTATAATTAGCCCCCATGGTCAGCAGGACTTCTGTGTCTTCAGTGACATCACATGGTCTGTGTCTGGCAAGTCTAAAAATTCTCCTGAGCAAGCCGTGTTCTTGCATTTTGGTTTAACCTACAGTATTAAGAATCAGATACCTCCTTTAGTGACCAGTTCAATTTCTGACATAAAAGTAGCTCCTAACGTCATCACAACTCCATAGAAAATAAGACTTTGGAATGCTGTGCTATTAGACAAAATAAAGTCCTTTCTTTGCATTAAAAACCAAAATCAAAGCCAACAAAATAGTCTTTCCATAGCTTGTTTCTTTTATAGTTATGGTGCCCAGACTTTGATTGGTTGAGCTATTATTCTCAGAGTGTCTTTTAAGAAATCCTTTAAACATTGGATTTATACTTGGTTATTTCCATATTGCTATTAAATTCCAGTTTCTGTTCTTAGAAATGATAAAGTGAACTTACATTTGGCAGTGTTTCTAATAGCGAGGTTGGTTTTTTACTTTTCACTCGAGAGATACTATTGGTAGATGTCTTAGAAGGAACAAAAGGATTAGTGTAGATCAAAGTACAGATGTATAGGTGTGTATGTGGCCCAGTGTCTACATTTGTTTTGGTTTTGTACTTTGAATGTGACAAATAAACTTTTTGGGTGAAGACTTTGTTTGATTCTTCATTCAATATTTCTTAAACATAAGAAATATTGCCTCCTACAGAAATATGAAAAGCCTTGCTTCACGAGATCTTAGCAAAGACTTCAAAAGCATGCACTAGATGAGAAAGATGAAAAAGCAGGTTCCAATTAAGGTATGTCTTTTTTTTTTTCCTTTTTGATACATAGATGAAGACTAAAAAGTAAGCAGCTTAGTTTTACTTCTTGGCACAAATGTGAAAGGCCCTTTAAAGTTTTAGATAATACCCAAGGATTTTTAGGACTTAAAAACCACTATCTTAATGAAGGTAGTGGTTTGGTTTTAGACTACCCATACCCATCTACCTACCTGGGTCTTAATAGTGCTAGGTGTGTTAAATTTCCTGAGTTCTATAGCTGGAAAGGCAGCCAGCAGCAATTGCAATGTCCTGCCTTCCATCACAATAGCATCCATGGAAGTCTATATATCAGAGGGAATGTCAACCAGAAAAATATGCCTCACAACTCTCCAGGACCTGACCTAAATCCCTATGGTGTCCTACTTTGTGGCCATAAAGAGGACTCCTGGCTCTTAAGGAGGCTCTTCAGGTCTGCTGTTCATGCCAGTCTTCCTCAGTCATTTCACAAAAGTGGAAAGATGGGGTTGAAGGCACGGCATGAAGGTAGAAAATTTAAAAAGGATTTTTCAAGAGAACAACTGAAAGAGATTTGAACACCTCTCTTCAAAGACAGGCTCCAACTTGGCACCTCTGCTAACTGGAATCCTGAGTGCAATCTCCATAATTAGGCTTTCAAGAAATCATGATAGCACATACCAAGTATCATTTAGAAAAATAACAATTGCAATCAAAAAGCTGTGAGAAACTGTATTTGAGAGAATATGTAGTATTTTACTAATTGTCTTTTAACTATAGGTATATCCCTGCCAAACATTTGTCGCACAACTTACCTTCTTTACCAACACCCCGAGCGCTGCTAGCACATATGCTTGCCACCTTTGTCGCTGCTGTCACAGGCTCAACACAAAAAATTTCAGTTTTATTCCCCATTGCCTGAAGTGATTGGAATACTCCTGATTGGGTTCAGTTATCTCCTAAAGGATCATATGTCAAACAATTGGCCACAAAGGCCAATGCGCCCTCACATTCTTGACTCTTCGGAGAACTCCATGCTAGAGTAAGGGTAAGGAAGCTAGGTCTTAGGAGTTAGACTTACATTGTTCGGTATTCGATGTCTCACAAGTAGAAATGTCTAGATTATACTTGGGAGAGTAGACAACTATTTAATTATCAGGACTAATTCACAAGCCAAGCGTGAAAAGGCAAATAGGCCCATTACGCTTCCGTTATAAAAGAAATTTATGAAAACAGGATGCCAAGTACTTTTCTGTTCCATTTGCTGACATGCTTTTCACTCATTTAAAATTAATAGCCCTTTACAGATTTACTTCATGTGGTTTTGGTAATGTATCATTCCTGAAAGCACCTAAAACAAGACTGGATTGAGAGAGCTATTCACACCACGGCCTCTCCCCTAACCCCCTTAAAAGCCATTTTTAAACCATACACATTTTTCTTCCCTTTATCTTCTAAGACACCAATACTACAGACTCCATGAACACTTTTTTTTTAAAACTCAAGGGTGTTTAATACATTGGTACCAAACTAGATGGAGAGTCAAGTATCAATGAACTTGAAATGTGACTTCACAAAGCTAGCAAGTGAATAATAAAACCACCAAAGCCTATTGTCTTTATTATCAAAGTTTATTGTCAGTTCCTATCTAGGGGGAGTACAACTATGTCTCAGTATGTGCTATAGTAATTCTAGGGTAATAGCCATTTCTGCAAAACAGTTGTACTGGGGCTCCACTAGGCATAGATCATAAGTCAGTGGAAGAAATGAGCCCAGAAAAACCCTGACAGTAGAGCCATTACTCTAGGAAAGTTCCAGTGCTATGCAACCTGTAAGGCATCATCTATCAGCTGATGATGAGACTCAAGGAGGTGTTGGTGGACAGAAACAGGAGTTGAACCCATTTTCTACTCTTTGCAGGACAGTTAATGGCTCCAACATAGGAAACCAAAATCAGGCCTTATAAAACCCCTTAAGGTCCCAAAGCAAGTGAAACAGGAATTAAAGAGGAAAAGAACAGTGAAGGATAAATAGAAGAATGAATGGAAGCGTTGGAAATGGAAAATAGTTGGGTTTAGATGCCATTTGAGATGACAGTACAGCACAGGTAAAAAGAAAATGGGGCAACAATTCAAATATTTTAAGTTCAGATACTAGAACTTAAAAGTGAAGCTTACCCCCTTGGAGGAAAACTGGTTTGGAAAGATGAGAAAAGTGAATCACTTACAGGAAAATGAGTACCTGAGTAGAAATAGGTGTTTCAAGATGTCTAGGACTGTATACTATAAATCTGAACTGAATTTACAGGGAGGAAAGGTGGTTTTGGTAGCCTGTAATCCAGATGTGACATTGGAATGACATTTCTAGCAATGGCTTGGTCTATAAAGCTCTTGGCTTTTTTTTTTTGTTTTTGTTTTTGTAGCACAGACAGCTTTGGAGGAATGTTTTCATAACACTTGACTTATGTGGGAATGCAAATGACTATAGTGTAAAAATTCAAAGACCTCCCCCCTATTCCTGCAGGGCAGGAGGAGATTAGAAGTCTCAAAACAACTGTGGCTAAAGGCCCAAGCCCTCTCACCCTTGTGGTAAAAATATTAAGGAAATTAACATATAGCAGATGAGTCAGTGAGCCTTGCACCATTGTAGGCAGCAGCTAATTTATGGTGACTCCTTCTGCAGGCAGCCTGAGAAACAGAAGAGCTTGTGTACTAAATGCTGCCCAATGATTAAATAGAATAGTGAAAAATAAGGTCATTAAATGAGACCCTAAAAAAGTCTAGCTGCCAACCAGATTGGGAAGATAAATAAAACAGCAGAGTTTATTTTGACCTCTTACCTTCCACACTAACCTAGTTTGTCTATAGAAAAGCCATCTGCTGGCACGGGGCCAGTATGTCTGAATTTTGTTATCATTAGTGTCTCATTTTTCCAAAAGAGGAAATGTGTAAGTAGCAGGAATATATAAGTGACACATTTCTACAAAGCCTTCTCTTCAGTTTGACCTGTATGGGGACAGGCTCTATCCTTGGAAGCATTTTTAAAGGCAGAAGAAAAATTTACTTGAGGTTTTCTCCACAGAAAGGACACTGGTGGAGCTGTGCCCACAGGATGAATCTCTTGTTGATGTTGGACAAATGGTCTCTTCTCCAGAAAACATCTTTGTTCATTCATATTTACAGGTTTCTTCTGATGGACCCATGAGGTAATCTCTAGAACAAGAAGTAGGGCAGTCATTTCTTTTCCAATCAAGTCTGTGATGAAATCAAGCGTCCCAGACTTTTCTGACCCTCATGGACATGGTGTGCAACGGCTGCGTCCCATGGTGGAATGTAGACATACATCCACGTGTCCGGACATGGGCTGTTCTAAGCCCCTGGCTTCTCCTGCTGTCCCTGTGCGTCCACACTTCCAGGAACCGTCTTGAGGATTTTGCTCCCCAGCTGTTTCCAACACAGTTCCATTAGCTGGAAAACAGAAAGAACCTAAATATGAGTCTATCCTTGGGTTTTACATACCATATACCTTTTAACAAAAATCATCATTTTGTTAACCACATTTCCAAATAGATGAGAAGGCAGTTTCATGCCCACATCACCTCCTCTATACCATGTTCACAGAAATCCCACCTCCCGCTCTAGTTCCTCAGCTGGGTAGCCTGACAGTAAACAGCGGTTGTCCAGATCAGCAGTTCGAGGCTAGTGTTGAAGGGAAGGGCCTATCTTCACAGCCACAGCCCAGCCACGTTTCTCCCCTTTCCTCTTTAGATGTTTCTAAATCAGTCTTTTGGGGTAGCAAATGGCTTAGAAAATGAAAAATGGACCAAACAAGTTATCTAACAAAGAGAGAAAAAATCAAAAGGTAAAATGAGAAAAGCAATGAGGGAACAGGTGGGTGAATTGGGTAAAAGGGGTCAATTATATGGTGAAGATGGAAACTAGACTTGGTGATGAACATGATGCAGTGGACACAGAGCTTGATGTCTAAGGCTGTATACCTGAGACCTGGATCATGTTATAAACCAATGTTACCTCACTAAGAAATTCTTTTAATGAGAAAAAGATTAAAAACTTGCTGTAAATCAACGTGCAATACCCAATGGAGGTCGTAGAATGGTCAAAAAGGGAGGCTGACATTATGGGGTGAAAGTATAAGGAATCTGAGAGGAGATAAAATGCAATTTTTATGATTTTTAAATGTAGCAGTAAGAACTTGACTCCAGCTGGTCAGAGTGTAGTGTGCAGTGGTGTTTACAATTAATTGATCACAGCCAGTTACAGATTTCTTTGTTCCTTCTCCACTCCCACTGCTTCACTTGACTAGCCTTAAAAAAAAAAAAAAAAAAAGAACTTGACTCCACTGTAATTCTAGGGATCCCAGAATGACAGTGGGGTTCAGCGCTATGAGTATGCTCTCATGTAGGGCAAGGAAGGAGATGTAAGTCACTCTTCAACATACACAGCATGAACAGAGGGGAAACACTTCTATTTTCATTTGTAGGCTGGAATCACCTAACTATATTTTAAGAGGGAAAAAAAAATGTCAAGACAGTTTTAATTTATTTTTTAGGTAGTTTCCCTAGGTAAGCAACTATTTTATTAAGTTTTTCTTTTCCTCTATGGAAGTTTCAGGTTGTCTATGAAAGAAATGACCTCTTCATATTAAGCATTGTGTTTGGAGGAACAAATTAATTGACAATAAGAGAAATGAGAAGAGAAAATGAATTGTTTTATCTATTGGTTCCTGCTACTGTCCACAGCCATCCTCTCTTCTCTCAAGGTGTGTGTTTGGGGGGTCGGCGGGGAAGAGACAGGCTCAATCCACTGGTGGTGTCTGTTAGGTAGCCAGTCCCCACTTCATTTTATTTTTTTTTTTAAATCTTTATTTTTTTATTTTTTTTATAGAGGCATGTTTATTTATTTATTTATTTATTTGTTTTGTTTTGTTTGTTTTTTGTTTATACATGCACTGGGTACAGTCAGAAGCGCGGGAGGGTGAGAGAATTCACCAGAGCCAGAGTGGGGAGCAGAGCAGGCAGAAGGACCGAAGTACACTGCTGAGGGGAGCAGCGGGCGGCAGGAAAGGTCTGCGCGCCATGTGGGACCCTCCTCTGGTGGCCGGGGAGCAGCCGGGGATCGAACTGGCGCCGCAGAGGCTGCGGGCAGCCTTGCAACCCAGCGCTCAACCGCTGCGCCACCGGGGAGGCCCCCCCCCCACTTCATTTTAAATCATTTTAAATCTGTTCCCCATCTGTACTCAACTGAAAATTCCAGATCTGTCTTCTTCAACCCTAAGACTTCCCTCACAGAGCCTTACAGAGGCACCCTGTTTAATCTTTTTTTGGCACAATGATTCAATTTAAAAATACCTCCCTACAGGCAGCAGAGGACCATAAGGAATGACTGTAGTTGCTCACTCTATGCGAAGGTCGTCTTGAGAATAAGATGATGTTTTATACGCTTTTGAACTCCTAGGGAGAAGCAAGCACATGCCATTCTTTCCATTTCCCAATGGGCCACTGCAGACCAGCCAGGACAGAGCTGAGGCCCAGGGACATGGTCTGCAGGCACAAGTGCTTTCCCTATATCACAACCCTACTGGCCTGCAAAGGCCAGCACCACTCCAAGGGACCAAGGTCACATATGGGCCCTAAATATTCAGCACAATGTTTAGGCCAAGAAAAAAAGCTGTCTTGGGCAAGAAAAAAATTAACTGAGCAAGATCATGCTCCTTCATATCCAGATCATTTCTTTCAGTATCCTAGTTCTACAAGTAAATGTTCTAGCAGCTCACATCTTGTTCATCTTATGTTTGGTAGAAATACTCCTGGGTCCAAGCCACAGAGCAAAATACACCCCAAGTCAAGCAGTCAAGTTTCGTATGAAGGAGGAAATGCTGCCAGCCTATTATCTAGAGAGGTCAGGAAAACAGAATCTTAACAGCAAGAGAAAAGGCAGTTATGAGATACAAACATGCCCCGCAGACAAGACAGTAGGCGTATGTTCCTGACTCATTACCTCAACTTGCCTCAGTTGCTCTCCGTCATGGCTTCCGGGTCACACTCTTTGTGCGGTTCGCCTCCTCCTGGCAACTCGCTCTCAATTTCCCACAGGACATCATCTTCGTCTTCCAAGTTGCTGGAGATGTGGCACTTCTTGAATCCCTGGACAATGGACTCACTGGAGATGCTGTTCCACGCAACCATGACCCACTCCAGGAAGAGGCCGAGGGGCGGCTTCTTCGCGTTCCCGGTGGGGCTCAGTGCCAGGTTGCCGGCCAGCAGCCAGTTGGAGTACTGGGCCCGCACACTGTCATTCAGCGGCTTATAGACCACCACATCCAGCACCTGGAGCTGCGAGGTCAGGCCCCCAGGAATGATAACCATGTCAGTGTTCATGCTTTCCATGGAGCTCTTCACAGAATCCGTGGCATGACCCCGGAACCCGTTCAGGATCAGCATCCCTCGCTGTTTGGGCACCGCGCCAGTCCTCCGCCTCCACACCACCTCCAACCAGTCCTGCATCAAGTCCTCGGTCATCCATCCATACCGGTGGCAGCGGATCTCCATCCCACTGGGGAACTTCCCGGGGGGGATGTACGTGCCCCTCAAAATGATGTACGGAGGTAATTTCCTCCCATCTGCCAAGACCCCCAGCATGGCTGTGATTTTCAGTTTCTCCCTGCCCGGTGTCTTAACCAAGACGGGCTTTTCACCCTGGTTGTCAACAGTCACCCTTGATGGCACCTCCAAACAAATCGGGGTCTCGTCGGCATTGCCCATCTGGGCCACCTGGTAGTCGTGCGCCCTGCGCAGGGCCAGCACACTCCGCTGGTAAGTGACCAGTTTCTCTGTCAAGTCTTCAGGTAGTTGCTGGGGGACAGGCACTTTATGCCGCAGGGACAGATCGTACCTTCGCATCATTCTCCGACACCAACCCAAGCTTGCCTTGAAGCCTTTCTCTGGAATGTTCATTTCCTGGGCAATTTCGAGCGCTTTCAGCTGCATGGCCTCCCTGGTGATCGGGTCCCCTTTGGCCTGCATGTATCTGACATACTCGGCCACACGCTGGTCCACCAGAGCAAACCGCCCATTCTTGGGGCCTCGGAAGGCCCTCCGCATGGCATGGGCATTCTGCAGCTGCGGCTTCACTTTACGCCAGTCCCGCACGTTTTTTTCCAACACCCCAAACTGCTTGGCAGCCTGGCAGTTGTTAGTGCTCTCGGCATATTCTACCACCATCAACTTGAACCCCGCATCATAGCTGCGGCGCATGCCCCTGCTGAACTGAAACTTCCCAGCCAGGTCTTCAGCCGAGAGGTCATAACCAGGGAAGCCCATGGCCACGTAGAAGGGGTACCCCTCACCCCAGTCAGGCAGCTCAGTGATGTCCCGAGGCAGACGGAAGCCAAAGCTGTCAAAATGCTGAGGCAGAGGTTGCTGCAAGGGGTTGTTCATCGGGCCCGCCCAGTCTGGAGGCTTGACATCAGAGTCCTCATTTTCTGGGAGGCAAGCAAGGAGAGGCAAAAATAATGCAAGTAAGTAAAATGACTTCTGGGGGCCTCCCTGGTGGCGTAGTGGTTAAATCTCAGAGCTATCACCGCTAAGGCCTGAGTTCATTACCAGGCTAGGGGGCTAATCTACATATTGCCCAGCAGACCTCTCCTGTCTGGCCTGCTGCTCCCCTCAGCAGTCTATTTCAGTAAATCTGCTTGTTCTGCTCCCCACTGTCTCTGGTGGATCCTCTCACCCCACCACATCTCTGGCCTATACCCCAGTTCTTGTATGCATAAATAAATAAAATAAACTTTAAAAAAAAAAAAGTAAAATGACTTCTGGCTTATTTCTTGATTTTTTTGGGTATAAATGCCAAGAACACTTTCAACTCTGAGACTGACCAAAAGTAGTAACTTTAATAAAAGATAACACTTCCTTTGTCTTTCCTCATGTGGCAATCCCTGTGGGGTAACATCTAACTCTCACAAGAATTCATTATTCCTTCTTTGCAGATCAGACTACGAAAGTCAAGTCACCAAGATCACAGAGCCAGCAAGGGCAGAGCTGGGAATTGAACACAGGTATTAAGCTGGGGACATAACTAGGGGAGTTGGGGGAACGGGACTGTGTTTGGGTCAAGACTATTTGTATGTGGATGAGAAGCCAAGTATAACCTGAGCCACATACTATCACAAAATTTGATGGCATCATAGACCAAATCACATTCCTTGAACCAACAAATCTATAGCAGAAGTCACTCTTAGCTTACAAGGCAGATAACTGGTTCCTGCACAGCAATGTTAGAACTGGTTTCATTTGTCAGTTTAGATTTAGAAAGTGGTCATAGAAATTGAGTATGATTTGGAAAAATTTGTGTATCTCACCAAAACTAACATGTCATCAGCTAGAAGATGCATTTTATATACCATTAAAAAAAGAAAGAATATGCCACTAATTAAACTAAACATGTGGGGCCTCCCTGGTGGTACAAGGGGTTAAGTCTCAATGCTATCAAGCTATCGCCAGCCTCTGTGGCCTGAGTTCAATCCCCAGCCAGGGAGCTAACCCATATTAGCTTTCCTGTCTCATCTGCTGCTCCCCTCAGCAGTGTATTTCAGTAGATCCGCCTGTTCTGCTCCCCACTTTGTCTCTGGTGGATCCTCTCACCCTCCCCCACCCCCATACCTCTGGCCTAGACCCCAGCTCTTGTATGCATAAATAAATTAAAATAAATCTTTAAAAAAACTCAAAAAACTAAACATGCCATCCATTTTTAAAGGCACTCTCAGTTCCAGAGACATTAAAGTGGCAGCGGAGAAACACGTCTTAGAACCAAAGAAATATGGCATCTTAAGCTCTTACCTTTAGAGAGAAAGCAAATAAAATTATTCTGGCCATTTGGAAACTATATTTATCCAACTGTTACACTTCTTTTTTTTTTTTTAAGATTTATTTACTTATGCATACAACAGCTGGGGTACAGGCCAGAGAGGTGGGGGGTGAGAGGAGTCACCAGAGACAGAGCGGGGAACAGAACAGGCAGACTGACTGAAATACACTGCGGAGGGATACGAGTGAGACAGGAGAGGTCTGCTGCACCATGTGAGCTGCTCCCCAGCCGGCTGGGGATAGAACTCATGCTGCAGAGGCTACAGATAGCTTCATAGTGTGGTGCTTAATCCCGTGCACCACCAGGGAGGCCCCCAACTGTTACACTTCTAACCACATCCCTACACTGAACAGCAATATGCTCAAGTGCTTTTCCTCTCCGGTATGAAATGGACAGAAAGTCAGGGTAAATAACCCAGGATGTGAGCTTCAGCACACTTTTCTCCTTAGTTGCCAGAGTGGTGTGGTATGGTATACTACTGTGGTGCCCTCAACTACCCAGGATGTATAAAATGCTGTACAAGCTTCAATAAGTTTAATCCCCATACACTGCTGAACACTGAGACTCATAACCCACAGTTGACTGATGAAGAAATGGAGGCTCAGAGAGGCAAAGTTAGTTGTCCAGGGTCACACAGCACTAGAGAGATTTTTAAACTTCAAAGCTTATGATCTTTCTGCCTTCTAACTTTGCCTTACTATTAAATCCCCTCCCACCCCCACCCAGAATGTACACACAAACTGAAATCCAGCTTTTTATTTCTCCCACTGGATGCACTTGGCTTAGTATAGTCTTGTACCTGCTAAGGATCCTCCTTGGAGCTGCCACTCATCCGAATTCTGAGACTCCTCCCCTTCCAACCGAGTGATCATGTCTGGCTTAGGGAATGGGAATTCTGTTTACAGGAGACAAAACAGGTAGGCTTTGTGTTACTGTCTTGATGCATTGCCGGAAGAACTTGATAATACTTACGGTATCCTTTCCCCGTCCACCTCCCCCCACCACAGTGCTCTCAACATCGAGATTTATGAAAGACCAGGAAGAGGTTGGGGGACACTGAGAGAAGAAATATGATGCGAAATAGGTCTGTCCAAGGGAACTGATGGGTCTCTGCTAATGAGGTCAGGAACAAGCACAACAAAGAATTGCATTTAGCAGGGAAGTGGGTGGATACAGTGACTGATCTAAACTAACACTGTGGTACCTGTATGACCAAACTGCGAAATTCTCCAGTTACAATTCTGATAACATAGGTGACATTAATGACAGAGGGGAGCAAGGATTTTTGGGGAGGTTTCATTCCCAAACTTCTGAGGCTGAGAGGTTAACAACGAGGCCTGCCTTCCCTCCTAAGGAACAAATGAAACACAGGCCCAGACCTGTGGTGACATTTCTTAAGTCACAGCTTATTCCTTATTTAATTTTGATGTGAATGCCTGCATTGAATGGGGGTGGTTCTGTAAGCTGTCTCAGGTTGCTGAGTAGGATACAGTATTTATCTCTTGCCTAAACTGGAAATAGGAAGTTAAATATGCACAGGCACTGAGAGGCCAGAGTCTAAGTTCAGGAGGGAGGGATGTTAGGTACACTAGAAAAGAGAGACACAGATCTCTGGGCTCAGAGCTTCTAGGAGACGAAGGAAAACAAAGCTTTTACCCAGGGACAGGACAGTCTCATAATTCATCCTCATGACTTCCCGGTACAGGGCCTTTTGTTGCTCCGTCAACACTTCCCACTCCTCATCGGAAAAATATATGGCCACCTCATCAAATAGGGCCGGCACCTGGAATAGCAAACAGGCCTTTCTCAACGACTAATAGGCACATGCAGACACAGACTCATATCCCTCCATCTCGCAGGGGCAGGCCTGGACCGGGGATATGGCTACTAAAGACACAGCAGGGACACAGGCACAGGTCTCCTGGGCAGCCATCAAGTGCTTACTATCCTCCAACCCTCCACCCCGGGTTCACAGATCAGTAAAGCAGCCCCTGGAAGAAGAACCCACCCACCCCATCACCAGGCAGGACACTGTCGTCCCTCATACCCTCACACTTCAGGGGACGCGATCGTGGCTCACCCCAAACACAACATGCTCACGACCGCCCGGCTCTCCTTCAGTCAGTCTCACTGTTCTCCCTGGAATCTCAGTGGCTTTCTCGGGTACTCTTCTCCATACCCAGGGGCACCAGCCCTGGGATTGGACTAAGCACCCAAAGCCGCCCAGGATAGAGTCAGTAAGAGAAGTGGTCTCATCTGGTCTTTTCCGACCCTCAGAGCTTGAGTAGGAGGAAAGAAGGCTAATTAGAGCTTAAATTTATGTAATGAGATACCAGAGCAGACTAGTTTGCTTTGATGCCTAGACCTGGCAGAAAGCCCCAAGGACTTAGAAGCCCCCTCTACTCTCTCATCGCTACCCCTGGTAGAGGGTGGCGCCTCATAACTAAAGGCCACCTCGCCGCCCAAACCAACCTTCTTTGTTTTTCCAACTATCTGCTTTTCTTTACACTATCTTTTTTCTTTCCATTATTAAAAATCCTACTCCTAAGAACATCAGATTTAGTGGTAAGAAATCACTGGGCCATTTTCTTCCAGGTTAATTGCTTTGAATCCCTGCTTCCAAAGAAAGGAAATGCTTGGAACCCCCAAAGCTGAAGCAAGGGCCTGGTGGGTTACATTTGTCACCAGCTTAAGAAATCCATCTGTGTCCCCCTTCAGTTTCTTCAGGTGTCTGTCCAGCACTCATTCAGATACACTGGCCTTTTCTTTTTATTCCCTCCTCACCTTGCCAGCACCTTCCACATGGGGAACACTTCCCCTAACACATGGGCACATTTCTAGTCCAAACTCAGAGCCCATAAACAGCAGGCTTGAGATATGGACCTAGTAGCACCATCTGACTTAAAGGCTCCAGCACTTAGGCCAAAAGCAAGGAGCAGGTCCCTGCACCAAGCCTCCTCCAACTTCCCTCTCTCCCTTCTGGCATGGCTATCACCCACCCATCTTTTAAGACTTCTAAGCCCAGACATCTAGTTTCCCGCAAGCCCACCCACCCTGGGCTGTGTGCCATCTACACCCCCATCGTGCTCTGGTTCAACCCTGTGGGGACACTCAGCACACAGCAGAATCCTGTCCGTTTGCCTGCTGCTTCCCCCAGAACACAGGCTTGGTGAGGGCAGAACCTGTGCCCATCCCACTTTTTCCCTAAGCCTAGGACACTTCCTGTAGAGAGCAGTTATTTACAAATATATTTCTGAATGAAAGATTTAAACAAATAATCTCTGGATTTCCCTTCTCCTGTTTCACTTGGAATCCCTTCAAATAATCATTCGATTTTATTTGTCACAAAGCTGAGTCTCCTCTTGGAGAAAGAATGGACAAAGACCCCTAAGTGTGAAATACTAAGAGGGTCTCTAGGGTGGCTAGACTCTCCTCAGACTTCATCAATCTGGAAAGTCAGCCAGGCAGGGATTTTCCACCCTGCCCCTTCCCAGGCTCTTAAACAACTCTCCCCTTTGCCTTTTCTCTCCCTAGGAAATTCCAGATCTAGGCCATACCTATTTATAGTCCCTTTCTCTTTGCTGATAAAACAGACACAGGACAGGCTATGCCTATCATTTCAGAGGGATTATCAATACTCCCAGAAGGTAATGTGTCCTAGCCCACATATAAATAACATGAGTGATAAAGTCATGAGGTGTGTGTAGCCTGATGGCCTCGTATTTGGGGTTGAGACACAGAGGCTCTTCAAACAAGCCCACATTATGTTCCAGAGGCCCACAGTGAAGTGGCTTAAAATTCTCTCCACAGCAACCCTCTGTGAGAATTGAGCAAGTCTTTAGCCAGGCCCTGCTGTGCAGAACAGCCCTCTCTCCACAGAGGTCTTTTATCTGGCCGAGCACAGCAGAAGGTAAACAGGGCCAGCCCTGGGCAAAACTCTGGAGTCAGGCAGCCTGTATTCACCCCCCCCACACACACACCCCTTCTTGACCTTGCAGGTAGGGACTCCCAATCCCTGTCCCCTCCCTTCCCTCGGAAGATCAAGGCCTCCTCGGGTAGGTGTTCTTCCTTCAGCTTGAGTGCACAGCCTCACCCTGCCTGGGGAAGCTAACATTCTAATTCTTTTCAAGAGTAAACATGGCTTCATGGATGAGGCTGCACAGCCACCCGACACAGATGGCAGGGGTCTTAGGGCAGAGGGCTGGCACCAGTGCACTGGCAGAGCACCCATTGTATGCAGGAACTGTGTAGGGCACCCCCTCTTACACATTTAAATATATTTTCCTATTGAACCCTTTCAATAACATCAAGATAGGGGTCACTACCTCACTTTTATGGGTGAGGAAACAGAGCTGTGAAGTAACTTCCCTGAGCTACAAAGTCTGACTCCAAAGCCGGTGGTTTCCCATACACCACATCCCTCAGAAATGCTAAGGACAGTCAAACAGCAGCACACACAACGCGTCCTTCAGGTGGGCCCTGACCCACCCTCCTTTTCTCTTCCATTTCTTGACATGCATTCAGATGCCAGCTCCTGGCCCTGGACCTTTTACTCCGCCTTCCTTGTGCCCAGAGACCTAACCCCCTTCCTTGCTTCCCTCAGTTGCTGCCATTCCACTCACAAGTAATACTCGATTCAAAGTATATTTTTTTCCTTTTTTCTACTTGAAATTTTATTTTGGCTCCCATACAATGTTATCCTAATATATAAAATGCCTGTTGTGTCTGAAAGGCTTTTATTAATCTCCCTAACATAATTCTTTATGACCAAAAGACAGATTTAAGAAACAGATCCAGTTCTTTTTTCCCCCTAGTTTAATGCTCGCACAGGGATTCTCAAGCTCAGCACTACTGACGCTGGTGCTGAGAGGCTGCCCTGCACCCGGCAACATCCCTGGCTTCCACAGATGCCAACAGGACTTCCCACATGCCAACCACTCCAAGATGTGAGAACCCCAAATGCTCTATATATTGTCAAATGTCCCAGGCAGTGGGGGGAGGGGGGGCAAAATCACCAGGTCCACACTTGCCTTCTCCAGAAACCTCTAAAAGCCTGAAAGAGGGGCCTCCCCTCGAGCTGATTTCCACTGCTGCACTCCCACACTGTACTGGTAATTATATTCACTTCCCTGGCTGCCTCAGGACTCAGCCACTCCGGGAGGGTAGAAATCTTGACATAACACCTGGCACCCCGCTCAGTAACTGGCCGTAACTGCCCGGGGGCCACAGATGCCTCTCCCTTTATCCCTCCCTTTATTCCCCTCCCTTCCCCACACTTCCCTTCTTTCCCAGTCAAGCAGGGCCTTTACCTTGCTCTTTTCTCTGATCCCAACACGCTCAAATGTCTACTTTGCCAGCATCCGTTTCCCCCTATATATTGTAGATGTTCTGGTTCAGCCAATTTAGCCTCAAAGCCAGGCTTTCTTACAGCCTTGAGGTTGCTAGACAGGGACTGACTTGCCCTGCAAGGACTTCCCCAGTGGTGGAGTCAGAACTGGGGTTAGAGGGAGGGGTGATGAAGAACATGGAAGAGACAAGGCAGAGCAGCCTCCAAGGCTAAGCCCAAACCCAGAGCCTGGTGTTGCACTGGCTTTTATTTTTTGGTAATTGAGGTTTAACATACATACAGCAAAAGGCGCTGCTTATAGAACACAGCTAAGGAGGTAGCTTTAAGAACAAATGTCGGTGATGTTTATTGTAAAAATCAACAGATATTGACTAAAGAAATAAAAGACTAGGGGTAAAATTATATAAAGATTTAATTATAATCACTAGATCAAAAATATTACTTCCTCTAGATGCCATTACCAAAAAAACAAACAAACAAAAAAATGTCAGCATACATGTGTATTCTAGCAACAAAGCAGATAACCTCTGACCTCCATTCCCTCATGTGGGAAGCAAGCTGGAGGGGTGATTTGCAAGTACCAGGATTCTGTAAAGACAGAACTCTCAACAATGGATATTATGTATACTGATAATGTTCAGCACAATGGAAAACTAAGCAAAGAAATACCAATCTGTTGCTTATTTTAAATGTTTACCATTTCATGCTCAATTATCCTGAACTCCAGTTAAGAACTGTGAATAACTACGCAAAACTATAAATATCTGTTGCAGTTGCATTTTGGTAGATTTACTCTAATTCTACCACACTGTTCTGTTTGGATATGTTCCCATGTTCCCTGCTGCCTAGCACCCCAATCCATCACCAAGGCCAGCTGGAAATGCAGCGCTGCTGTGAAAACTGTTGTAAGAGATATTCACCCAAAACCAACTGGTCCAGTCTCCTCATTTAAGCTCAGTGCCCTATCTTAGAGGGCTCCCTTCAACCAGCGGTAGGTGACAAAGACCCTCCCCTTACCCAAACATTAGCCAAACTCCCCTCCCGTCCATAGCTGGTCCAGGCCAATTTTAGCAAGAATCCAGCTAAGTCTGTTCAGGGAATATCCCCCCTCCTTGATTTCTGATCACCCCAGCCTGCCTTCAGCAAGAAAGAATTCTATTCAATTTACCAAGAACCCTTCCCACCCCCCAAATCTTGTGTCTCCTCTTAGAAATTTCTCATCCACCCTTGCCCTCTGCTCATGGGCTCATTCTCCAGCTTGTCTTTGCTGTATTCAGAGTTCAGCCTGATTTTCTCTCCTCTCTTGCAACAGTCCTATCTTAACAGCTCTGGATAGTCTTTCTTACCATTTTAACAAACATCAGGATAATTTTTTCTTGAACCAAAGTCAGCATATATTTCGTTGTCTGCATCGTGCCTGGCACCAAGCAGGGGCTAAGGGACCCAGGGCCACGGGACAGAGACAAGGCCTGAGCCTTCCAATCTTGATGATAAGCAACATGGCTGAGGGACTGCTCCATAACCAACTCCTCCAATCTTCAGTGCCTTTTAAAGCTACAGGACTGTTTTCTCAGGAATGCAAACACACCGGCAGGCTGGGCTATTTTTACTTTCTGTATCAGCCTGAGGAGTCCAACCGCCTGGCTCCCAGGCCTGCTCCTCATGGCATGTGCAAGACCCCACACCTTCTTACCCAGCCGCCCTCTGAGCAGATCCGGACTTTCTGCATATCTGTGGGGCCATCCTCCAGTTCCCGGCTCTGAATCTCTTCTTCCTCTTCCTCTTCCTTCAGGGTCAGATTGAGAGGGTAGGCTGTAGGCTCCATCTCTGCAAGGAAGATTCAGTGCAGAAAAATGAGGCACTAGTGCAAGCTCTTCAGCACCTGTGACTGTGGCTCAGCCTACATAGACCTCTTTAGCCTGGAGCCCTGTGGGGCTGGATGGAAGGAGAGGAAGTCTCAGGTCTGGGAGGAAGGGGTGCAGGGCAAGCACCAGAAAACTGCAAGATGACATGTTTGACTATGATAAAAGGGGCTGCCTTCAAACATTTATAAAGCTATCTGTGGAAGAGAGGCCAGACTGGTTCTGTAGAGACCCAAGGGCAGAACAGGCTGGTGGGTAAACATTCCGGGAAGAGCTTTTAAAGTGTGCATTGAAAGGCAGAACTTTCTCACAGCTAGTGCCACCCAAACATGGAATCAGCAGCCAGAGAGGGGTGTTGGCTTCATGTCAGAAGTGTGTGAACACAATAGGACACCTGCTCAACAGAGTGGTTTCTAGAGGCCAGTTAAGCATCAGGTTAGTTGGCCCAGGACATCCACCACCTGGATTTTCCAGGGACCGGTTCAGAAAATAAAGTCAATTCTGCCTAAAGGGACTTCCCAAGACAGGGAGTCAGCGAAGGGTGATACCTGGTCAGCCAAGAAGGGGCAGAAATCTGCCTGAGCTAAACCCCAGGGCCCACCCCACCGGTAAATGGCTCCTAGCCTCTGGTCTGCAAATTCCCCCTCCTGCCGAGCTGGTCGCCAGTACAAAGGGCCGCGCTCTGCCCTCTAGAGGGGCGTCCAAGCCTTAGGTGTGCAGAGTGCGTGCATCCGCGGCCGCATCCTCCCGGCTTTCCAAAGACAAGACCCCTCTCGAGTTCAAAGTCGGCTTTTTCCACCTTTCCTAAAAGGTCTGGCCAAAGCAGCGGGGATGGGTCTGGGCGGGCGAAGCAGGTTTGGGAACCCAGCCGCTGGGGCCCGAACTTGGCCGCCGCCGCCTTCCCCAGCCGCTCCGGGGCAGGAGGTGTGGGGGCGCCGCCCGCTGGCCAAGGTGCCCGCGGCGAGGTGCCCGCAGCCGCGCCGCCCTCCTCGCGCGCCCGCGCCCCGCCCGCCACCCCCGACGCGCTTGGATGTCTCCAGCCATCTTGTCCCAGTTCCCTTTCTCCCCCGGCCCGCGCCCGAGAGCCCCGTCACTCCGGCCCCGCCGCCCCGCCTCCGCGCCAGGCCCCGCCGGCCCCGGCGCACCTGCCGGACCACCGGACCCAGCGCCACCGCCTCCCGAGCGGGCCCGCAACAAAGGCGGAGGCGCGGCGCTGGCAGCTGCAGCCTCTGCGCACCCGCCCCGCGGCCATCGAGCCGCCCCCGGGCCCCGCCGCCGGCCGGCCGGCCCGCCCGATCGCCCACCGCCCGCGCGCGCTCACCGCCGGGGCGCGGTGGAGACGCCGAGGGCTCCGGCCCGGCTGTCACAGCGCCATCGCCTCCGCCTCTCCGGCTTCCCGTGCGCGCGGCCCCTCGGGAGGGAGCGGGAGGACACGTGGTGGGAGGAGGGAGGGTCCGGCCGGAGCAGAGGGGGCTGGGAGGCGAGGGGAGGAGCGGCTGATGTCAGCAGGCCCCGGCGGCGCCCGCGCGGCCCGACCCTCCCGCGCAGCTTCCGGCGGGTCGGCGGGGCGCCTCCTACGGCGCCCGGGACTCTGCACCAGGCCTGGGCCGCCCTGCCGCTGCGCCCACCCCCGGCCCGGCCCCTGCCGGGTGTGCTCCGCTCGCCCCTGCGCTCTGCGGGCGACCCGGGCGGGGACGATGCAGAAAGAGCCCGGGTTCGTGTTTTAACTGAGAGTAGCCCGGGCGCACACAGCCAAGCGCTCATTTGCATTCAGCAGTGGTTTGCACTGGCTCGGATGATCACTCCAGGCGCTCTCGCCGTGCTCCCAGGAATGCATTGTGAAGACTAGACCAGCAAAGGGGTGGAGGGCGTGTAGGGGGGCGCAGGATCGCTGAGGAAGCATGCATGCTCCTGTGTTCTGGCAGGCATGCGTCCAGAACTTCGTGATAGACATGGAGAGGGGACTTCCTGATTTTTGTAGTCCCAAGCCTGGAAGCTCGTGGATGAAGTAAGTGTATAGAAGATTCTTCTCCCAAATGTTCAAAGGAGTTGTTCGTTTGCAGCTCTGTGGACAGTGCAACAGAAGTGAGAAGTGAGCAGAGAAACCCTGAAACCTTTCTCATTTCTGAAATGATTTTTTTGGGCAACTTGTTAAAAAATTATTCTGACACTTGTTAAAAGGATAAGAAAAACTTCATTCGGGATTATTGAAATAGATTTCAAAACAGTCGAATAGGGGAGAGAGATGTGACTCAACTCTGAATACAGCAAAAGACAAGTTGGGCAATTAGTCCAGAAACAGAAGGGAAGTGTCGGTGGATGGGAAACTCATAAGAGGAGACAAAAGGGAGGAGGGGGGTCTTGCTAAACTGACTAAATCGAATTCTTTCTTGCTGAAGGCAGTCTGGGGTGACTGATAGCAAGGATGGAGACATTCTCTCTAAATTGAGCGGGATTGTTGCTGAAACTGCCCTGAGTAGTAGTGATTGAAATAAAAATCTCAATGATAGTTAGACAACGAGTTTATTAAATAATCCAAGTGAGGATTTGAACCTGAGAAACACTCTGACCGATTTTAGCCTGTGAGAACTGGTTCCTTCAATCGCAAATTTGAGTCCAGTTTATGTATCTAGGTACAAAGTAGCATACTTGCAGAAAAAAAGGAGCAATGAGTACATCTTTATTGCTTTTTAGGTTTAGATGTTTCAGTGTCCTAAGTTGTCTTGATGCACAGAGGCAGCAAATGCCTGGTCCTGAAGAATCACTGTAGAAACACAAAAGCCTGGTACCATCGTTAATCTTTAGCTGGCTCCATGGTCATTAGTGAAGGCTGCGTGCACTATAGGTAGCTGATTCTTGTGTGACCACTTGACAAGCAGGACATAACCTGTTCTGACTTGAAGTCTATATAGGTGACTTTCTTGCCTGCTAGACCAGGGAGGAGGTCCCAGAACTTTCACAATATGTTCATACCCGAGGGGTATGTGTGTCCCAGAGAGAGGCATCTGGTGGAGAAGAGGGCTGTGAGGAACCCAACTAAAATTTGGTCAGAGTTTTGTCAAACTTTCAGACTGTCCCTGAGTACTTGCTGGAAAAGATCTCTTTCTCTCCAATTTTTTATGGCCATTTCTATTTATTTTATGTGAATTTAACTTCTCTCTGCAATGGGAGAGGCATTGTGTTGTGTATTTTTGAATCCATTAAAATATAACAAACACACCATCGAAGCATAATTACGTAGACAACCTAAGACCAGACAAATCTACTGGATGGAGACTGAGGATAATTCAAATGTTGGAAGAGAAAAGGATATTATAGTTTTTTTTTGTTTTGTTTTGATAAACAGTTCTTTTGATGATTTTTTTTTTTTTTTTAATAGAGGCATGCTTTTATTTATTTATTTATTTGTTTGTTTGTTCTTGTTTATACATGCACTGGGTACAGTCAGAAGCGCGGGAGGGTGAGAGAATTCACCAGAGCCAGATCAGGGAGCAGAGCAGGCAGAAGGACCGAAGTACACTGCTGAGGGGAGCAGCGGGCGGCAGGAGAGGTCTGCGCGCCATGTGGGACCCTCCTCCAGTGGCCGGGGAGCAGCCGGGGATCGAACCGGCGCCGCAGAGGCTGCGGGCAGCTTCGCAACCCAGCGCTCAACCGCTGCGCCACCGGGGAGGCCCGATAAACAGTTCTTTTGTAAGTAAAGTTAGCGTTTTTTTAGAGCAGGACCACATCTTAAATTAATTGACCTTCTATTTTAACTTTTGTGAAGAAATGGCTCATTGAAATGGAAAAGTTAGGTTAGTGTCAGGAAGGGGAGAATATTAGCATTGCTGGCATTTCTGCTTCTTACAAAAATTATTAATACAGGTTATGAGATAACCAAAGAGGTTATTTTGTTAGGGTTTTAGCCCCTGAGAACCCTAATGCCTCACGCAGCTTTAAAGGTTAGTTTTTCCCAGGGAAGAGACTGACAAACAGTGATCCACTGAATTCTTGACATTGAAGCCACAGCTCCATCCTCTTAATTATTTTCAAAAGACCCAAGTCCTTAATTGCTTACAAGATTCACTCTAGATTTACCTTTATGTGGCTTTGTAAGTCACATCCTGTTTCTATAATGCTTGCATTCCCTCACCTTTAAAAAGAGAAGATTAAACCAGATAATGACCCAGCTCTATCATACAGCAATTCCACTGTCTTTTAAGACTTCATCTTATTCTGGACCTCCCTGGTGGCACAGGGGTTAAAGTTGTCTTAGCAATACCAAGCTATTCCCAGCCACTGCGGCACAAGTTCGATCCCTGGCTAGGGAGCTAACCCACATGGCACAGCAGACCTCTCCTGTCTCACCTGCTGCTCCCCTCAGCAGTGTATTTTAGTCAATCTGCCTGTTCTGTTCCCCACTCTGTCTCTGGTGAATCTTCTCACCCCTTGTAACTCTGGCCTACACCCCAGTTCTTGTATGCATGAATAAATCAGCACATAGCTTTGGTGAATGAGTAGGATGGATTAGTAGGGGTTAATAAATATTAGTAGAACACCTATAGAAGCTACATGTTAATTCCTTAGTGAAGCTACTGCTTTCACCTCATCACTCCTCCTGTCATTGTGGTACACAGACATAGAGGTTTTAAAGAGCCCAAATCCTAGAAAATACTCATTTTAAACTGTAGTACCTCCTGGTGAATATACATTTCTAACCGTAAGCAGACACAGTGGCAGAACAGCCCCTGGCCACCTGCTCCCTTACTCAGGGATGTGCTAGATTGAAGTAAGTGCCTTGCTTTGTTGTGTCCACATGGTAGTGTTATATAGCAGAGCCTGCCCAGGTTTCATTTGTACAGCATGTACTCAAGCAGCCCGTCCCTTGGTCTGCCCTAGTGACATGCTTTGGCCAGTGGAAACTGGGTGGCATTACTGTGTCCTGAGGAAAGGACTTCAGAGGTCTCACATGTTTCTGCTATACCTCTGAGAATTTTTGGTAGCCTCTGAGCTTCCTATACCTGTGGTTTGGTGTCAGTCATTCCTTTGGGGGAAATTCTCAGCTATTGTTACTTCAAATAGTTTTTCTATTCCTTTTTCTATTCTCTTGGTACTTTTTTTTAAAGATTTGTTTTTATTTATTTATGCATACAAGAACTGGGTGTAGTCAAGAGGGGCAGTGGTGTGGTGGTGAGAGGATTTACCAGAGACAGAGTGGGGAACAGAACAGGCAGATTGACTGAAATACACTGCTGAGGGGAGCAGCAGGAAAGTCAGGAGAAGTCTGCTGTAACATGTGGATAGCTCCCTGGTGGGCCAGGGGATCAAACTCATTCTGCAGAGGCTGGTGATAGCCTGATAGCAACTGAGACTTTAAGCCCTGTGCCACCATGGAGGCCCTTCTCCTGGTATTTCTGTAATATATACAAATATATTATACCTTTTGTAATTTTTTCATTCTGCTTTTTTCCTTCTTTTTGTTTCTTTTTGTCTTTCAATTTGGGAAGTTTCTATTGATATCTTCACACTCACATTTTTTTTTTCCCTTGGCTGTATCCAGTCTACTGATGAGCCCACCCAGTGTTTTTGATTTCTAGAAATTCCTTTTGATTCTTAGAGTTTCCATCTCTCTGTTGACATTACCCATCTGTTCTTGCACATTGAACATTTTTCCATTCAAGCCCTATTAATCATAGTTATTTTAAATTCCCAGTTGGATAATTCCAAAATCTGTCATATCTGAGTCTAGTTCTCATGCTTACTGTGTATCTTCAAGCTGTGTTTTTTGCTTTTTAGCATATCTTGTAGGTTTTTGTCAAAAGCCAGACTTGAGCTATTGCAAAAAAGGAACTTTTGACTAAAAAGTCTCAGTGACTGTTAGACAAAGTTTATTAGCTGATTGAAATGACCATTCCAACTCAGCAAGCATTCTGATAGATTTTACTCTGTGACAACTCTTCCAACACCACAAATTTCAGTCTAATTTATATAGAGAAGAATAGTTGTTACAGAGCAGCCCCTATATAAAACGGGTTGCCTGGCTGTGAGTCCTCACCCGTGTGCTCAAAAGGGACTTATTAGTACTCCACTGCAGACACACACAAAAAGTTAATAAAAGGTTTATTTACAAGGAAGGGGAAATGAGGAAATGTACAACTCAGGGAGAAAATAGGGAAATAAAATCGTAAATGCGTCCTACCCGATCCACCGACCTGGAAACCCAATGGCACTCAGAGCTGGCTGCGAGCTGCGAGCTGGCGGAGAGCCAAAAGGCACCCCCAAAGCCCACGTGTCTGGCTTTATACCAAACCTGGCTGTTTCACCCCACCCTCAGGTCCCAGCCACCTTCCCTTTGGTGGTGATGGGATTTGGAGTTCCCAGTGTCTTTGGCTTTGGCCTGGGGTGGGGGTGGAGTCCACAAAGCCTGTATGGAATTAGCTTTAGGAGATCCTTTTCC